CTATCATTTGGAGGCCAAACCTGGTCTCATCCGTAAAGAGAAGAGCCCTTCATTGATCAGCTGCCCAGTGGACATGTTAATGGCCCAACTCAAAGGTTCCCTTCTATGACGTGACATGAGTGGTACACAAATGATTTGTCGAGATATTCCGACATGGTTGTGTTTCAGCTCCGAGCTGTTGCTCCACGAGATCCCAAATGTGCTCTTTTGTGTAAAGATACGGTGACTTAGGTGGCCAGCAGATTAACTGGAATTCATACTTATGCTCTTCGAACCATTCAGCACAAATTGAGCCTTGTGATATGAAGCGTTGTCGTGCTTGGGCAGACACCATGTAAAGGTGAAACTGATCCACAGTTATGTTCACAGAGTCTGTTGATTTCATGGTCTGTTCTACCACAACTAAGGGTCCCAGAGCCGCCCACGAGAACGTCCCCCAAAGTGTAATACCTCCACCACCAGCCTGTATATGACCTGATGTAGAAGCAGGGGGAGCAACTGTTCATCTGACACGACCACCGATGTGATGAATGAGAAATTATGATTCATTGAACTAGGGAACACTCTTCCACATATCCATGGTCTAGTCTCGATGTTCCTGAACCCACTGTAGGCATAATTGATAATAACGCTTGATGAACAGAGGACAAGAGTGAGACATCAGCTGCCCAGTCACATATCCAACAGTGTCCGCTGAACTGTCTGTTGTGAAGCACTTGCATTGAACTGGGCTGTCTGCTGAGCCACTGCCTGGGGACAATTTTGCTGTAGCAAGCGGGAGTCTCCGATGTCCTTTTCCTTTGATGACTCGTGGACATACAACACCCTGGTGTATACTGCTAGTTTCACTGTCATTTATCCACTTTACATAAATACTAACAACGGCAGATCATGAACAACCTACCATTTGTGCAGTTTTGGAGATACTCGTTCTGAGTCTTCAGACCATCACAATCTGCCCTCTATCAAATTCGCTTAGATCAGCAGCTTTTCCCATCATGCGCAAGAATAATTCCTTATCTTCTCCAGTAGTAGTTAAATACCATTTCCACTTAGTCATGTGCTTTCCAGGTTATCCAGATGAGTTCATTGTAAAATGTGGGGATTCTCATAATGTTTTGGCTTATCAGTTTATCTCTTATTAACATAACCAACATTATAAAAGAGTGACTATATTTTAGCTTCACTTCGAAATGAAATGTTATGCTTTAGTACTGAAAATATAACGTATTACGTATATCTTTCAAACACACGCACGGAACTTTTGAAAGAAAAGACATATTTAAATTCAATAAAGATCATTACTGCTGTTTCAATCAACACTAATTTGATGCAACAAGTTTCTTTCAGATCTAAAAAGGCCAAATTCACAATGAATTATTCTATCCTGACAACATCATCAAATAATATCCCGGTGGCCGTAAAACGTACTACGCCATGAAGAAAAGCAGATAGTAAAATCATATTTATTTAAAAAATTCAATGTTAAAGAAAGTTGAAACGATCATCGTAATTTTGAGGTATAAAACATGCAGAAGTCCCGAGCATTTTCCAGAGAAAAGTTAATGCCATTCTACTGCATATTACACCACCAAAATCTTTCTGCTAAAGTAAGGTGACCATACCTCCCGAATGTTCAGTCCCTATCCTGATTTTTTATAACTATTTTTAGAAACCAAATTTATAGCATTTGTCCCAAGAAACATTAGTGTGAAAACTTAAAAGTTTAAATGCATATATTTATTTAAGTAGTGTAAATTGCACACTGAGAATAAACATGCCCTATACCTGCTGCATAAATATGGGATTTCATTTTCCATCTAGCCTTTACCTCAGAAAAACAGTAGTGGAGATTTTCTATTTCTCATTCCTGTATTTCTCTCCCCCCCCCAATATACACAGGATTTTTGTTCACAGCTCACACGTGCAATTCAGACGTTCACTTACAGACAGCACTGCAATTTTTAATTGATATCTTAATGCAACTGTGATTTGAAATTACAATATATACAAATAATTTTAATTATCAATGGTACATACATTAATATGGTACATACATTACATACATTAATACATATCATCCCCTTACATATTATTAAAACACATTTAAAAATAATTCTTCTGTCATTTGCTGAAATTTCATTGTAGGTATATATATCCATCTAAAATCATCTTTCTTTTGCCACATTCAAGTAAAATTTTCACTGCACTGTCATTTTGATTTTGAGTAAGGGTTAAAAAAATTTTTTAAATCTGCCGAAACCATGACATGTAATTAATGACGTTTTGCTTTAGGCAACGACATATATTTTTTATTTCTCAATGGTGCATTATGTTTTATTGCAGTTTATTATTTATTTTTACCTTTTTGTTTTAGTAATTGGTTCAAGAAAAAGTACTGTACCTTGAACGAAGACCTACAGAAAAAATACCCGTTTATTGAAAAAAACTATACCCGATTTTGATGTACTGTGCAATATATGTTCTTCAAAATTTTCAATAAACCATGGTGGGCACATAGATATTAAACTTCATATAAATAGTAATACACATAAAATAACAAATTCTGCTGCATCTAGCTCGTCATTAAAGAATTTCTTAAAACAGGAGAAAGTGAGTGATAAGAAAGAAGAATTAGCTAAGGCAGAAGGTACTTTTGCACACCATAATATTTACCACAACTATAGCTTTAGGCCTCTGAATCGTCCGTCCAAGCTGCTTCAAGTGGTATTTGAACATAAATATACATGTGCGTGAACCAAAGCCAAAGCAATAATACTAAATGTTTTCATGCATTAAACAGCATTGCACAATGATTTGGAAAAATGTTCATTTGTTTCAATCTCAACTGATGCATCCAGTCGCAAGGAAATACAACTTTTTCCAATACTTGTTAGACTTATAGATAGGATTATGGGTTCGAGTGCATATTTTAGAATTAAAACAATTATCTGGTGAAACGTGATATTTTGCGCAACTATTTAACTATCTGTCTTGAAGAAAATAATTTAATTTAAAAGAAAAAGTTGCTGGTCTTTGTGATGATAATACAAATTTTAATTTTGGAGAAGCTGATATACATGTGGAGAAAATAATGTTTTTGTTAAATTGAAACAAAACCTTAATTACAGCTTAATTGAAGACCAATATGCAAAGCATATTATCCATACACTGTAAGAACATCAGCTGATGTTTTGCCAGTTGATACAGAAATTATTATTTCAAAGATATATATTAAATCTTACGCTGTTAGAAGAGACACATTGAAAAATTTCTGTAATTTCGTAGAAATCGATTTTTCAATGATACTACGGTATTCACAAACAAGATGATTAGCATTACTTCCGACCTTTGAAAGGGTACTCTGATTTTTTTACTACTGAAGGCTTATTTTCTATATCAAGAAAAGTGTGCCAGGCTTATTTCAAATTTCTTTGAAAATCCAGTGGCAACATATAGCTAGGCAACATTTTATTAACACTCAGGCTTCAATATTTCATTAAGTTAATATAACAATTGAAAATCAAACTGCATCTGTATTTGATGTAATTGCTTCAACAGATGTTCTGAAAGCTTCAATACTGAGCAAGATGGAGGATAACTTTATTCCAATAAATGTGAAAAAAAAACTCTACAGAAAATTGAAACGGAAACATGCCACAATACAAAGTCATTGAATTTCGAGAAGCTACTGCTTAATTTTATCAGACTGCTCTTACTTATTTGAAGAAACGGACCAAAAATTATTTCAGGAGATGGAAACATACAGCTGGATCATATTAAATTAATTGAAAGAGCCCTCTTTTGTTAGTTAATGAATAAAATGATACTAAATCATAAATTATTGGAAACTGATATAAGTGAGGAATATGGTTACCTTAAACAATATATCAAGGAAGGAAAAAATATTGGAATAATAAAAAGGTAAGATATGCACAGTTCAAAGGTGGATGAAAATAACTGCATATTTTAATAAGAACCAGATTTCTGGTTTAAATGTTTTAAAATTGGCAGAGTTTCTCTTCTGTCTTCATGAAACTAATGCTACAACTAAGCAAGTATTTAGCATTGTGAACAGTTTTTAGACTAGCAATAAGACCACAGCTTAAAAGTGGATGCTTTGAAGGATATGTTAATCACCAACTAAATTCTGATGAAAATTGCATGGACTTTTATATGAAGATCAAAAAAGAAAAAGATGTTCTAAGAAATATTCATGCTTCAGAGAAATATAAAGCTACTTCAACAAAAAAATTCAGAACGGTTACGGTTACAGATTTATTATTTGTTTAAAAATGTATTAATATATATAGTAACCTACATACCACCTCCACCACAGTTACATTAACCCTCTGAGTGGCACAGGATATTAGATCTGTCATGAAGACCAGTATTAAAACAGCACTTATTAATTGAATTTGTATAATTACTTATTCTAGTCTCTATTTTCATAAACTTACATTCATTAAAATGATATTTACATTATTAAAGAAAGAAAGAAAGCTAAATATCTTACATTATAAGCTAATATATGCCAAGTAACAAAGCTTCTCATGACCGCATAAAGCCGGTCAGGCCACTCAGAGTTAATAATAAAATTATTTGTAAAAAAAATATTTAAAAAATTACACATATAGCACCCCAAATCTGAAACTATGAAATCCGGTCACTTTAGTCACTTTAGCTAAAGCACTATTTCATATGCCATTCTACTGTATACTGCATCAGCAAAATCTTTGTCCTAAAGCAACTATTTCACAAGATAATTTAAACAAAGTTATTACAATTGCTAATTTTATTTCAGTAAACGCAATGTACCATTGTGAATTCTGAAACATGCTTATTAGATCATGAAACATGCAACACTGATTTGCCTAATTATTGTAAAGTCTGTTGATTAACAAGGGAACAAATTCTCAAAAAAGTTTTAATTTTATGGTAAAAAATTTTAACATTCTACAAGAAGAAATGAAAACTACGCAAATAATCAGATAAAAATCTCTTAGAAATGTTGCATTTTTATCTCATATGACAGAAAAACAAATATACAAGATATGTGGTACAGAATTTGAGCCTCTCAAAAGTCGACATTTTTAAAACTCTACTCTCTAGCTCGGATGTATTTGAAGAATAGTTCTGCTAATATAAAAGATTTTAAATGAATGCAAAAACTTCAATAATTATGCAACTGTCTTGGATTCCTTAACTGAGGAATAAATAGATATTCAGATTCTGAAGAACATACTCTTACATTGGAAGTATATTTTAAACTTTTATCAATGTCTCAAAAGCACTCATGTTACTACAAATGGAACTAACTGAGTTGAAAGAAGGTAATACTAATACAAAATATCCTTTTTGATACCAAAAAGATCCCAATTAAATACAAAAAAAATTCAAATGAATACATGAACTTCCATGACCATGTACACCATTTTCTTTTCTGCTTTGGAAGAGCTTATTTTCGTGAATCAGCATTTTCATATATGGCACAAATTAAAAATCACTTAAGGTCACAGGTATCCGATATTCATTTAAAGATAAACTCAAACTATGAATTATGAATCTGGAACCAAATACTGGACTAATACAAAAGTTACATTAAATTACATTACATATTTTATAAATTTTCATTAATAAAATATGTAATATAATTTTACACCCTTATGTGCAACTCGCATCTAATTTTTTTAAAACTTTAGTTATAATAAAATCATTAATACTCATTCTATTAAGCTGTACAGCCTTTCGCACTGCTATCAAACTTAATGTTGCCTATCAGGACGTTCCTCATGCCTGCCTTATGATACAGTCAATGCTGAGAAATGTAGCTTACAGGTTTAGCTAAAGGTTTAATAAAAGTATGTTTTAATTTAAAATGAGGGAGGAAAAAGACATGTAAATGATGGAAAGACTTTTTTCTTAACTTTTAGTTTTTTTGACAACATTTGAAATCTACATAAAAATGAGAATGTGCAATAAAATGAACATGATAATATATAAAATGATAAATACAATATAAAAATGTCTCAAATAACACAGATGCCCTTAAATGTTTAGAAGTTCAACTGCTTCAATTCAGGAAGGGATATCTGTAACAGAAAAAAAAGAGTATTACATTAATATACCATGCAACAATGTAAATTCTATACTCACAAAAATATTTTTAAAAATATTCTTACAGCAACATCATCAAAGAAGTCAAATCTCAATATCTCAAACCTTTACTTTTCAAACAGAAATTATTTCCGTATTTCCAGCATTAAATCAATTATTTCCAAATAACTACCTTGAAGCATTTTGTTTGACACTATTGCTACTTTTCAATTCCTGTATCCAAGAAAATAAGCTGTTGAATATCTATTGTCCCCTCAAAAACACAGAACAGCATTCGGTAGCCTATTGTCTAACCCTAATCCCAGGTTTTACATCAATAGGATGATTCTTTTTTGTTTTTGTGTGCTCTAAAAGGTGAGGTATCCAATATCTGGAACAATACAGACATACAGGATTTCTGAGACTTTTAGCCTTCCAATAATATGATGACCAATCTTAGAACTTTCTCATTTCTGCCTTTTGTTGAAACTTTAAAATGTTGAAATTTCATTTCTTGGAAGTGTAAAAATGCCAAAATTGTAGCAGATATGAAATCGTCATCAGACAATCATGATGAAACATAATTATCAGTTAGAATACGATTATAAAAATGTGATAGAGAAAAAAGAAGAAAAAAAATCATTTAAAATATGTACATCTTTTTTAGCATTAAACACAGATCCTGAATTATTTGCTTCAATCCTTATGCATCAGATTTTATTCACAAATTATCTTTGCTCAGATACATTATAATTACATTTCTATTAAGTATTTGACCAAACAATTGCATTTAAACTGTGACAAAGCTTGTGTTCTTCATTTAAAAGCATAAATGCTAAAATTAAATATTGATAACATTTCATATTTTATTAATAGGAATTACAAGTAAATAACTTTGTATGCATTAATACTTGAAAATTTACCAGAAATTAAAATATCTCATAAATGCTTTAATTCTAATTTCTTTCTGTTCTTGTAAGATTCAAACTATTAATGTTTGACTGCAATGCTTTAAAATACTCAACATATTTACCAATATACATCAATCTGATGAGCTAGTTTGACATTTTTAAAGAATGCTACAGAATTAAAATTATAGTTCACACTAACATATAGAACAAAGATGTCTCCATGATTAATATTTTTTAACCATATATAATTAGAACTTCTTAACAAACATTCTCTATTCGTAAAAAGCAAATTTAGAGTTTTCCCAATGCTATATACATATACAAAAATGAATAACTGCATTCATTTAGGTTTATTTACAACTGCATTTCAGAAGCATGTCATCCACAGCTTAAGTCATTAGTTAAGACAGCTTTAAACATTAGTTCAACATTAGACAGCTTTAAACTGTAATTGTTTAATGTTGACATTAGTCAAGATAGCATTAAACATGCAACTAATTAATTACAGTTGCAAGATGAACAATTGCATACTAAAATGACTGTGAAGCCAAAAGGCTGGAAAGATATAATTTTAACACAGCACTGCTACTACTAACAGTAGGAAAGTGCAGAAAACAACTATTTAAAATCAGAAATATCTAGAAAAGAAACTCTCCTGGAAGAAATCGCATTAACACCGATGCAGCGCCACTCATACTGATTGTGGAAGTGCTTTTTCATAGCCCACAAGAAAAAACAAAGTGTATCTGGATGGTATTGTTGCACATTATTAAAGATGATTTTCCAATGGTTTCATCTCCCTTTACACAATTATCACACAATGTGATCAAGTGTGATTTTTGAGTTACCTATATAAGCAAACACAGACACTAATCATACACTTTTTAGGCAATCATCATACTATTTACAGAAATATTTTACCTAAAATTTCTGTGTTTTAAAAGTTCTATTTCAGGGGTGGCCAAAGTGTGGCTCATGAGCCTGATATGGTTCTTGCAGGCAATTTGTACGGCTCGTGCATATAAAATATGTTAAACTAAAACAATTCAGTGTCCAAAAAGAAGTAATTAATTAGTTTAGACTCTTTTTTACAAAGTTATCAGGGATTTCTTTCTATTTAAAACCTCCTCCACTACTTCTAATGATGTAAATACGAACTTGTGGCTTTTAGAAAATCTAGATGCGGCTCTCGGACATTACTGAATTCAAACGTGCGGCTCTTACTGACATGAAGTTTAGCCAACCCTGTTCTATTTGATAACCCTTATTCTTCACTCACTGTCTACAGTGTAATTTCCAAGACAATAAAGTCTTTTGTAGTATCAGAAGAGGTACTTTATACCATTTCTCTTGAACAACTTTCTGAAGTCCAAAAAGAGTTGTAGGTTAACATTCAGACAATCTGCTTTATAAAAGTACAAAATCCATGGGTCATACATCAGGAGATTTAGTAGGGATATGAGTGATGGGTATGGCCTTGATACTCATTTGTTTTTACATTTCTTCCAGGAAATTAGTATATTTTAATGTGTAGCTGTTTGCTTTGTCTTGATGCAGTTCTGCTGATTGATGGTACTGTAGATACAGAGAAGGTATTTCATATTTGAAAATTGAGTATAAAATATGTTCCTGATAATCTGTGGAGTTGATCTTAACATTTTTCTTCACTCTCTTTATTTTTAATTTGCCGTTATACGAAAAACCAGCAGCAATCATAAATCTCTTATAAAACCTTTCTTTAAATTCCTTGATCTGTGTTTTAATATTTTTTCCTCCTTTCATGATAATAAATGGATCTCTTTTTATTGCAGTCATTTAAGTACTCCCAAGAACCATCTATTGTGACAACATTTTTTCTATTTTTATCCAGATGTCTCAGGGAGAATTCTGCAGTGCATTCTGCGATATTTCGTAGAGAAAGAGAATTCACGCTGTTATGTCTTTTTAAGATTCAAGTCAGCATTAATCACTTTGTTTACAGTTGACACTGAGTATTTTAATGACTTTGCAACTAGCCATTGAATTAGCATATTTTCTTTTAACATTAAAGATTTTTACCCTTTGCAACATTCGAAACACTTTTTTTCCTTTGGATATGTATTTGGAACAATTTTGCTACTTGAAGCCAAACTCTGACTTTTTTTTTACCTTTTTTTGTTTACAATATTACCCATCATAGCTTCAAATTTAAAAAAAGCATGGCTTTCACAGTGTTTTTTTAATAACTACATAAGAATAATTTTCTTTGGAAAGAGCATAAGCATAGCCTTCCATCCAATGCTTCTTTAAAAGTGCCATTTTACATCAAAATAAAACTCTCAATTCTGCATGAAAACAAAACAGTCAAGTACTAGACAAAAAATATGGTTGCAGTTAAAAAGAAATTTCCTATGCAGACAAATGTTTTTTTCACAGCAAAGCAGAATTGTCAAAAAAATGTATGCAGACTCTTTTATTTACTTATTTATCAAATTATGGCAAAACACACACAGATTACCTGCTTAAAGGAAGGGTGTCTTCATATAAATATTTAAAATACAATAAATACACATACAACAAAAATTTATATATTTGCTGCATTGACAGACTTTAATTAATAAAAAATCTCGCATAGTTATAGCGAGAGAAAAATAAATGAAAGGTGTTTACCTCTTATTTAAGTTTCAATGAATGAGATCTATTTTTTAAACAGCTATTAAAATGTTTGAGTCATGTGATTATAAATGTTTCATTTTAAAGAGCAGCATCATAGCTAACATTTGTGTAAATTAAGAATTCAATGAATCTTAACTTTACGATAGAAAAAAGTCTTTATCGTTATTTTCTGTTAAATGCAAATGTAAAAATGGGTACTGAGACTCTCAGTTTAACAGATGAAAAATTATAAATAACACTTTTTTAAAGATACAGTATTAAAATTTTAATATAAGACAAAAATTTGAGATTTGTAATAAGGAAGAGTTTCAAACTACAAGGCTTTTATAAGCAATTTTTTTACCCTTTTCGTTTTTTGATGAAAATTTTCATCTTCTTTTCTTTTTCTCTTGCCTGCTTCGACGACCTACATGGTGACTATGATGCCTGTGAGATGGCTGATGAATTGGACCATCAGGAAGAATATCTTCATCACTTGAATCTCCTCCATCCTGTGAAGTTAAAGTATTAAAAGCATTTTTTACTTTTCAGGCAAACATAACAAAAATAAAAAAGGAAATATCTCTAGCCAGCCATATTATGGAACTGTCACCTTAAAATACAATAAGGAAGTAAAAAGAGAATCTTACAAAATTCAAAAACAAGTTATGACCTCAAAATCAGTATACTTTCATTTCAGAAATATTCATAGTCAAGAAATTATCTTTCCAGATCATTTGCAGAAATTAATTTTGAAAGAATTTCTATTTAGGTTACTTACTCACATGAGCCAATCAATAAAAATATATACTAACTTGCATGATTCTCCTTCCCCCTGCGAGTCCACGTAGAGAACTCTGCAAAGCTACTGGCTAGGACCTATACCTAGGTAGTCTCGGCCATGGGGGTATGCAAATCATGAAGCTAGAGGTTCCAGAAAGGTCACTTATTGGCTAGCCTGGGGTCTGGCAAGTCCTAGAGCCTATGGCTCTACTAACCCGGGGACACTGGGCAACATCCCTCTGTGACGGGCGGCCCGAGCGGGACTGGTAGGTAGCAAATCATAGTCAATGACCGGAGTCGCAAAAGCGATGCATCCTTCTTTCTAAGGTGCGAGGGCGGAGGTTGAGCCTCCGTGCATGATTCTAAGGGGCAAGCGGACTCACAGTGCCATGCCGTTAAGTCTCACAGAGTGAAGAATGCCCCATATCTAGTTAATGATCCTCTAAAAAAATACTTTGTAGTGCAAGTACGGGAATGTCACCTAAATATTTCTGGGAAAATCCTTTGTAAGATCAGTTTTTCATTTTCAAGCAACCCATAGACTAAGCCATACACATACACAGTCATTGCTGTCTTCTATTCTGTTACCAAATTTCTCTATGCTTGCCAAAATATCTCCACCATAACACTTTGTACTGGACTAATAAACAGTTTACAGCTTTTAAGTAAAATTTTTTCATAAGAACACTCTTCAATTCAGATTTAAAAATATATAAAAAAACAACAGATTTGTCATTATTTCATTTTGATACACCCTTGTACAACAAGCCATACTTTTACATATATTACACCTTTAACTGACAGTTAATTCAATTTCATACACTTCTCATCTGCACATTCTGCAAAATCATATTCAAAATTGGGCGAAAAAGCAAACTGATATTGTCAAAAATTTTGAATAAAACTTTGAATATGAATAAACTTTTTGAAATTCTTAGTTAAAATTCTATAATTTAGTTATTTTGGTAAAAGTTATAATTAAGACACTGTGTAACCTGTAACAAAATTTTGCTGGACAGAAAAATGAACATTCAAAAAAGGAATTTACTATCTCCATGCTTGTTCACCTATGTCTTGCTTTAGATGTAAATGATATTATGAAGCAGAAACACATAAATGAAACTGGCATGTCTGCTCAGATCGCAGTTAAAAAAACATGGTAAAAAATTTAAATTTCACTAGTGGTAATAATACAGGATCCCGTAGTTCTAGAAGCCAACAGTACCATGATTTCTGGAAGAAACGCCACGGCGTTTACATGTTTAAAAATTAAATGTCTACCCAAGTAGTGCTTAGGTGCACTTAAAAATATATTTCCTATGATGTCATTGTATGGTGTAAAATATTTCCTATGATATTTGGCGCTATTCCCACACAAAAGACCAAGCAGCTGCTTTCTACGAACTTTAATTTGTTTATATTCCTTCCTTTGAATGGATCTATGTGCCTTATTCACCCTAAACGGAATCTCAGAACAATAACATTCTTCCCTCTTTGAAATCAGCATTCTAATCAGTTTGAATAGTCTCTCTTCTCTGCCATTGGATGAATCTTCCAGGACCCATCCTCTCCCCTCTCCTGCCTTTTCCATAGTAAATCTACTGTGATTTTTTTCAAAGGTGAACACAACTCCACCTGCATTGCAATAACGAACCCTGATGTGTTCCCACTTCAGCACGAATCAATTTTTCTTGGATAGTTTTTAAGAAGGGAGCAGAAAATTTTTGAAATGGCACTAAAGGGCACAGAAGCTATACTGCTGATTTTAAGGTTAATGTAATCTCATGTGCTGAACAAATTGGAAATAGAGCAGTAGCTCGAGAGTTTGAAGTGTGGACGAGAGATGCATTCAACACTGGAGAACTGAAAAAGAACTTAAAAATATATCACAACAGAAATGAGCCAAAAGAAGTGGTACTGTAAGGTGGCCAAATCTAGGGGATTGCCTTGCTAACTGGATAAAGAAGCAACGGGGAAAGTAAATGGCAATTTCGACTGTAAAAATTTGCTTACAAGTAAAATTTATGGCAAAACAAATGAACATAAATGATTTTAAAGAACGGCATTGCTGGTGTAGCAGATTTATGAAAAGAAAAAATATTTCTGTGCGAACTAGAACAACAGTCGGACAACAATTACAAATGGACTGGCAGGATAAAAAAAGCATCTTTTCTAAAATATGTGACAGATATTATTGACAAACAAAAACTTTTTCCATCACAGATAATAAATATGGATGAAATGCAGTTAGCTTTTGACTCTCCTGCAAACAGAACTGTTGATGAAACTGGTGCAAAAACTGCATGCTTATGACAAGGCATGAAAGAACATCATTTACATGTGTATTAGCTTGAGCTGCAAACGATGATAAGCTAAAGCCAATGATCATTTTTCAAAGGAAAACTATTCCAAATGGAGATTTTCCTACTGAACAGAACATTTTCTCCAATTACATGCAATAAACTATTTCATACTTTTGAATGGATAAATTCAAAATCTATAGACTAATACTCAATACATTACAGAATTCATATGAAATTTCAAAAATGACATATTCCTTTCCACCATATAAGACTGAATATAATGCAAATGACACAAGAGTAAAAAAGTTTTTGGAAATGGTACGTTCAGAACATAATTGACATTTTACAATCAGACAGTAAACAAATTATATTTTACTTATTTTATATTTATATATTAGCCATATATAATGCCACTGCAACCAGGGCTATGGAGTCGGTAGGGAAAAAGACTGACCTCCTCATATACATATGTAAACATATACACATGTGTTACAGCTTATGTTTTTTTAATATAAAAGAAGTAATAGATGCTACAGAAAAAAATTATGGCATAGCAGATTATTTATATTAATTAGCACTAATTTCTAAGAAACAATACAGCTTCGGCAAGATCTTCTTTGGTTGAGGACTGTATCCAATTTGATAAACTTCAGAGCTGAGAATAGGCTTTCCACACCAAACTGAGTAGGAGGAAGAGCTGATACTGTTAGGGCTACTTCTTTTAACTATTCAGCATAGATTTTTATACATTCTAAAAGAGGTGTCTTTGCAAGAGCAATCATATTTCTATATTTCTTCAAGGGCTGTGTAGAAACCTTGTTTGTATTTCTTCATTTTTATATCTAAAGGCAGTACTTACATATTAACGCCACCGCAGCTGCAGATTTTATCGCCAATCTACACCTAAAATTTTTGTGACAAATCATAAATTAAAACACTTTATTTAAAATCAAAGCAGTCAATCGGATTTCAGTGGAAAATGGGCCGATATAGAGTTTAACATAGATTCAAAACAGTCTGTATTTTCTTTGACATGATGCTGTTGCCATATGAACTCTGCTAAATAACATTCTAAATGATGTCTCACTGTCCAATGTGTCTTGGTCCTACATTTAGCAATGCCCCACATTCTCTCAACTATTTGTGTATGAACTCCTGTTCAGGATCAATAAAACTGTATTTATGATTAACTTTAACATGTAGGAATCCTTCGGTAAAAGTATATTTTAGAGTACCCACTGGCGAAACTTGGTGATTTTTGGCAGTATATGGGTACCGAGTTTGTGCAATTCTTTGACTTATTATTTTGGCTTGCATAACGGCAATTTTTGCACCAAAAATCGTTGCTACGCAAAGCCAAAATAACAAGACAAAGAATTGCACAAACTCGGTATCCATGTACACAACGACCTATGTTCATTTTTAAAAAAAATCCCTGAATTGCACAAAATGGCATTGCTACATGCCCTTGACTTTATCCATGTACACGTTGACCTATTTAAAAAAAATCCAAGAATTGCACAAACTTGCACTGCGCATTCCCTTCACTTTGTTCATGTACACATCGATATATTTTCACTTAAAAAGTCAAAAGAGCACCCAATTCTACAATACAGGCAAACAAAAAATACATAATCTCAGTAAACTACATTTTAAACTAAACAATAAAATAACATAAAAAAGGATAAAACATGTTATACATTTAAGCACTACAAAAAGCAAATATCCACTTACCCTATTTAGAAGTTCATTCATCTTTAGTCTGTGGCAGACAAAATTCCTTAACAGCATCCTAAAATTATCTGAACTCGAATCCGTATATCGTCGCCACATGTGAACCTTTCTTCCTACAAACCCATTCAAATGCATCTAAACGGTGTTTACGTTCAACTAGACGTATATCCTTCCTACATACAGGACACTATAATGGCTACTAAGTAAACCTTCATTTACACATCAGTCAATTAACGCTCATTTCCCCTTTTGTTCCAAATCATACAGAAACTTCAAATTAATCTTACTACATTCAGCCATTCTACAGTCTAAACAATAAAACCAGCACACACCACAGATGCACTTACAAAACATCCCATGATTCAAAATTTTCCAGAATCATGCACCCGATTACATCACAATAGGGTTTCCATAACATTAAACTACTTAGGCTACCATAAATGAAACAATTTGGTGATAAATGAAACAACAACTTCACCATATTACAAGGGGTACCTTAAAGTCTACTCTAACCAAATCCTTCTTTTTCTATTTTATTTGTTTGGTAACCTTTCCAACTGTCAGAATAAATTTGTGCTACTCTCTGCAATGTTTTCAATAATTTTATTAAGAAGGGCTGAGTCAGTTCTATTAGGAACAGTGACAAAAAATGAATCTTTTGTTTCTCTACATATACCACCAAACACCCACTT